TTACCTTACCTTACCTGATCGTGTACCCCACCGCCTACCCCTCTACATCTCTACAGATCACCAGTCAGTCAAGATGCTGGAATACTTCACCTACAAGAAAGTCAAAAAGCACCGGGAGGAGAAGACCGAGAAGGAGCGCTTGGATAAGGAGAACGGCGGCAAAGGGAAAGAGACGGCGAAGCCAGCAGGTGTCTCTTCCGTTCCTACGGCAAAGTCCCCCTCCCCGCCCTCTCCAGACGACACGGGCAGACCCATCCTCGACCAAGAAGACGAGAAGTTCCTCGAGCAGCTCACCTCGCCGTCCACCCTCGGGGACAACGACGATGACGAGACCCCACCACCCTTACCCCCGCGCGTCAAGACGCCCGTCATCGACCTAGACAGCGACGCCTCCAGCTTCGCCAGCAAAGACGACGGCGCCAACACCAAGCCGCCCACCAAGGGCAAAGACAAAGACAAAGAAGACAACAAGCCCAAAGACCACAAGCCGAAGCGCTTCTCCTTCGCCAACATCTCGCTCAAGCGCAAGCCCAACAACAACAATAAGTCGAAAGAAGACAAGTCCCTCACATCGCAACACCTCGCCGTCCCCACCACCACCACCCCCGGCGCCGCCAATAATCTCGACCCGGAGCAAGAAATCCGCAAGGAGGAAACCGACGTCGCGCGCGTCCTCGAGGACCTCGACCTCGCGGCCTCGGGCGACAACAAAGCCTTCTCGCTGTCGCGCGAGTCCGCCGACACCGTGCGCAAGTTCACGCAGGTCCTCAAGGACCTCGTCAACGGCGTGCCCACCGCCTACGGCGACCTGGTGCGCCTGATCGAGGACCGCGACAGCGTGCTCGCGAGGTCGTACGAGAAGCTGCCGCGCAGCCTGCAGAAGCTGGTCGCCAAGCTGCCCGAGAAGTTAACCTCGTCGCTGGCCCCCGAGCTTCTAGCCGTGGCCGCCGAGGCCCAAGGGTTGGCGGGCGCGGAGGCGAAAGACGGCGCGACGATGAAGAAGTTGCTGAACCCGGGGAATCTTATGGAGCTGGTTACGAAGCCGGGCGCCGTGGTGGGGCTGCTCAAGGGCATTGTGAATGCGCTCAAGGTCAGGTGGCCCGCGTTCGTCGGGACGAATGTCCTGTGGAGCGTGGCGGTCTTCCTGCTGCTGAGCGCGCTTTGGTACTGCTATAAGCGCGGGCGCGAGACGAGGCTCGAGAAGGAAGCTTCGGAGGCGACGACGGCGGCGACTGTGGAGGAGGTTGACGACGAGGATCAGCTAGTCGGTGGGACTGCGACTGGGGTTACGCCTAGGATCGAGGAGCCGCCTGCTGAGGTTAAGTCCTCGACGCCTGGTACGACGAGAGCGGCGCCGAGGGTGCAGTAATTGGTACACGGGACGTAACTTGTGAGATGCGGATTCGGCGCCAAGGAGGCCATTGGGAATGAAGAACACGAGACGACAGGGTGCAAAGTTAGGATGGAGCTTTGCTACTTAACGAGGTTATGAAAAAAAAAAATTTTAATGTGTGAGGGACAGTAATATAGTCATGGCGATACCCGGTTGTTTTAACACGCAAGGAACATTCTTTCTGATCTTCCTAGTTCTCGAGGAGAGATATATTAAGCAATTATTTCAGGTTGGGTAGGTAGGAGGTAAATGGTAATGGCAATAATAGACCTCTCAATTTCACCCTCAGTGAACTTGATAGGTAATCAGGATTAGGTACCTACATGTCAATATACCTTCAGGAATCGATAATATTTCACATTTATCATTTATCGTTGAGACTTCTCCTCGTTCCTAGGTTAACAAAGTAATATCGAAACGCAGAGAAGTTAATTAGCAGCTGAGACTTAAATCCGCAGCTCAACCTCGTATTACTCGAACACGCGATTTCAGAAAGGCAATCAGCCCCCCTTACCTCCCTAAATTCTCAAACATGACATTATAGTATCTACGCTACGCAAACAGGTATCAACGTAAAGACGAACTAACCATCGCGCACGTAGCCAGAGCCTAGAGCTTCGAGTCTTCTCCAGAAGGGAAAGGCGTGTTCGCGACGACGCTCCATAAATGTCGCCTGTCACGTAATTCCCGAGGTAGCTCATCGTGCTCATCGTGCGGACTCTCGGTAGAAGAAAGCCGCCGTAAACCAATGCCGCTCTCTACGGACGCCTCTCCGGTGCTCTCTCGCCATCTCTCCGACCTGGACTCGTCGTCGTCTCCCGTGCTAGCCCGCTCTTCCTCTACCTAGGCGGGGTATCGCGAGAGCTGCGACGTCCCCCCCCCTCCCCCTTCTCCACCCCCACCTCCACCTCCACCTCCACCTCCTCCGCTGCTTGCCACCTTCCGCGACCGCAGCGATGAGGTGCGACCGATCATAATTCTCGGCGAACGTCCCTAATCGTCCTGCACGAGCTCCTTGATCTCCTCGCGGGCGGGCACGATGCCCGCCGTCGTCTCGGCTTTCGCGTCCCGCCCGCCCGTGCGGTCGATGACGCGCGCCCCGTCCTGCATCCAGAAGTCCACCTCGTCGATCACGTCCGCCACGATGTCCTCCACGATCTGCTCGTCGTACCGCTCCGCCACGGGTCGCACCTTATCCAGCCTCCGCGTCGAGAGCAGCGGCGCGCTCGCCACCTGGACCGTGTCCGCGTCCACCATGTCCACCATGTCCACGTCCCCGTCGTCGTCCAGGTCCGAGAACCCCTGCGGCGGGTACCAGAACTTGGGCCCGAAGTTGACCTCGGCCGCGCCGCCGCGGAATACGCTGATCGCCGGGTAGTATCCCACCATGCCGTCGTCCATGCCTTCTCTTGCGCCCACCTGAGCCTGGGGCTTCGAAGCCGGCGGTAGGAAGGCTAGGAGATCCGTAAAAGGTGTTCCCATAAATCGGCCGTTCTTGTAGATCTTGATACATGAATTAGGTAACGTGCGTAGGGCGGGAACTGGGTGATTCGGATTTGGCTTATCGCCAGGCCTGCTGCCTATTGTTCCCGAAGGACCGACAGGCGACGGATTCATCAAGTCCTCCAGTTCCTTGGTCGTGTGGTAATCAATCTTCTCCAGATAAATGTGCTGTTTGAAGCGGATCGGAATCCGGTCGCGAACGATATTGGCTGCCTCTGCGGTCGGCTCGTCTTCGTCTATCAGATCTACCGCCGGGTTGTACTGACCCTGTACGACCTTCCGATGTAGCTGCTCCGAGGGTAGCTGGATCTCGAGTCCGATCACGTCGCCCTCCTTGATATCTTCGCCCGGAGGGAAGAAGTCTTTGGGTCGCGACATATGTACTTTCTGGCCTTGCACATCTCGGATACCGTAACTGTAGGCATCAAAACCGACTGGCGCGTCTAATGAGGCTTCCCGTCTCGCAAACCCTACACGCACGTGGCCGTGCGACTCGACGATTCCATTCGCATTGCTCTTGATAGTTCCTCTTGTAATCTTGCATTCCCAATACCACCGACCCTGGCGCACAGCTACATTGGCTCGCGCAGACCTAAATCCTTTATCCGTCGTGATATGTCTCCCCGACTGGTCCATGTACATGTAAGTAGCGGCATCTTCAAAGCTAATATGGGGGCCAAAAGGCTCGGGTTCGGTTTGTCGATAGTAGAAGGAGGAAGGGAAGGCAGGGTCGGCTATGCAATGTAAGTAGTGGAAGCTTTTCTTGTTGTAGACACTGGATGCAAGCAAATGATCAGTAGAGACCAAGACGGAATGCTCCTAGTATATAGTGGGAATACGACTCACTGCTCGGATGTCTCGTAGAACTGAATGATAGATCCATCGGGGGCAGGAACTTCGTGATGGGGGGTAAAGACTGGACCTCGAGCGGTTTCGAAATCAGAGGGTTTGGGAGGCGCTAGCTTATAACGCAGAGGCGAGGATTCATTAGGCGGAAGATCTTTGACCTTGGGATCCGGGGTAGCTCTAGAGCTGTCTGCACCCAGGCCAAGTCCAGCCTTGGACTCTCGCTTCTTCAGCGTCTCCTTTTTATTTCTGGCGGGTTTCTCTCGTGTCATGGCTGCTGCTTCGTCATGCGACAAAGGCTGGGATTGCGGTTGTAGTTGTGACTGGTTCTTAGTAGGTTTTACGTCGAGATTAGGGTTTAACGGCGAAGAAACTGGGGGTGCGTGGTCATCCTCTAGAGGACGCTTTTGAGGGGCGGAAATGGGGAGAACTGGCGCGGGAATAGGTGTGATTTGACGCTTTGGTATATTTACGTCGGTAGCCATGGTATATTTCTTTTTTAAACCAAAAAACAATGGAGATTATTATTCGTCTATAAGTACCTCCTAAGGCCTCTGGCCTCTGCTTAAGGTGTGGCTAAAATTATGGGGACTGGTCTTATACGATACAATTTGCTGAGCAACAGAGTGACAACACGGACGTGTAAATGTGGAAGAAGATGAGAAGATTCAAAGAATGCGTTGGAGTTTGAGAGTGAACCTTGTCTGCGGCTCCGGTAGCCTTCCTGGTACAATGCAAGTACATCGACCCCCCCCCCCCCCATGGGGCAGGTGCAGATCGCGTCTACAGTTCACGATCCTACCCTAGCGTTTCAATGTACTCTTAAGGTACTCTTACGTACCTCCGCAAGCTGCACCTCCGATTTTAGTTCCATTGAAACCGCCATAAACTCCAACTTTTATTTTGAAGCTTGGTTCTTTTCGATGCGATTACAATTCCGGCACCCTCCATATGTGCATTCAGCATCTACCAGACTACGTGGTAAGTTGATCTCAAATACACTCAATTAAATCCAATAAACTCCCAATTGGCACAATGAATGATGTGTCGATTTTCTAATAACAATAGGAACTTATTCAGTATGTAGCATCAACATGTCCTTACTTACATGTACCTAAATATAGGAAATGCATGTATTACATGCGATAACAGTTTCTGTGATGTATACAGCATGCATCTTTATGGGTGACGAAAATGTCATTCAATCGCAATGCAAAAAGGGAAGTAAAAAGTCGAAATTGAGTTTGCAAAAATGCTGCGACCACCACGGGACTCGAACCCGCAACCTCAGTCTTTCACTCCCATAACCAATGGATGATAATAGGAGGACCGCGCGCTACCATTGCGCCAAGCAGTCAGTAAGACTCGTTCGGCTCGAAGTAGAGCCTCGGAGAGCTTGCTGCTGTTTGTGGGCCAAACAGGCGACCAGCGACATTAGTGCATTTGCCGCTGTTGAGTTTTTGGTCTTTTATTACACCTTATAAAGGCTTTTCCGCACGACCCCTCAATTCAAAAAGTTAGCGTTCACCACCTCCGTGTCGCTGATACGCTGCATAATGGAATACTCTGCTTAAGTCGATAATCTTTTGCTCTTTGAGGTTTGGGACTCGGGAAATCGTATATAAATTACCTACATTGCATTTAACTATTAGCATTACAGCCAATATGTAATATCTAGCCCATCTTATGTAACCAACCCCGTGGTAGGATCCCCCGCGCCATCTCTGTAACCCGGATCTTCCAGCATCGTTAGACACATGGCCGTGGCGTAGTCTCCGTCATGACTGATACTAAGGCGTGCGTACACCTGCCCGTAAATACCGTCACCCTTGATAATAGCTACAGGCGGGCTAGCGCTGGACCTCTCGTCTGGCTGGCCTTCAGAGGCAGACGCAGACGCCTGTTCTCTCCGAGAGGACTTGAGCGTTTCGTTCTCGAACGGCGTAGACAGCTCGTTCTGATACGTGACCACGATGTCGTGGAAGGTAAGCCTGCGGCGCGAGTACGCTTTTATGACTGCTTCCTTGGCCGCGAACCTGATTTCGTGTATAAGCTATGGAATTTGACCTTACTACTCCACCTACCTAGGTAGGAAGGGGAGGGAGTTACTACTAACCTACCGGCCATGAAGTCAGCTGCCTTCCGCGCTGTTGGGTCTTCAATACGGGTTGAAGTCTCGGACGGCGTGAATACGCACTTAAGAATCCTCGACGTGACCGGCATCGATAGCTCTTCGGGGCTGAGTATGCGCTGCGCGAACTTCGTTGCTTTGACAGGAGATGCTAGAATTTTACGAACTCTATGAATCTGGCAGATGTCGATGCCGATCCCGATGGGAGGGAGCCCGCGAGGAAACATTACGAAGGGTCTCCGACTTGAATATGAATGAGTCTCTTACCTATATTCGAGTGAGGTGCAAGTCGAGTATTTCCATGGCTTGCAGGAGACTTTGCTTTTGGCCTTATCGTTATCGGGACCCGTCAATCCGTGAACGTGAAAATGGTTGTTGGTTACATATGAAGACGCCATTCCGCAATTGATTTTTATATTATGATTTTACCACAATTTTGACTTTGCTAATTATCTGCTTAGGATGCCACAGATGCATGCTTTCTCAAATAACCGTCAAGGCTGGCCCTGATAACTCATTTCGCAAGACCCACCAACGCCGTCGCGTCAATTGCGCTTCCAGTAGTTGCACTTATAAAAATAGCAGCATGTTGTCGTATCTCGTCCTCCAAATGAGTAGGCGTATAAACTAACCCTTTTCATTCGCATCTTCCAACATCCACTGAAGAAGTTTTATGAACCTTTCCGCTGTCTTTTGGCAGTGAAGCTCTTACTCGGCGAGAAGCGGTGCTCTCTCGGCATCGCCGTCTCGAGCTCTCGCAAACTTGATGTCCCTTCCGGTCGCGGCGGGCACGGCGACTACCACAGTCGCGATGAAGAGAACCGCCATGATGACGAAGGCGAAAATCCACTGGAATGCAATAACTTGTCGGAAGAATTGGGACACACCGATGGCCGCCGACAAGACGCTAAGGTTGAGTCCCATGGTATAGTCCTAGTAAGATATTAGAATGGGCATTGCGAATTAAAGGTTACGAAGACAAATCTTACCTTGTAGACGATGATGAAAAATAGACCGTACACCAGGATGGACCAGATGAAGATGTTACCGAAGATGCGGGCGACGAGCGACTCCGGGTGGGGCACCATGATAGCTCCGTTCCAGTAGATCGCGACAAACGTCCACGCCAGCGGTCCGGAGATGGCAGGCTGGTGAATGAACCGAGCATAACCCGGGTGGCGGAAGTAGCCGGAGGACAAGTTGATGAAGTTGAGAATGATGAACAGCTCAGCCCAGCCGAAGTATGAGCGGACGAAGAGCATGACGAAGGCGAAGTGGAACAGGTTGTTCACGATGAAGTGGCTTCCCACGGAGCATGCCGCGTTCACTTTTTCCACATTGCCGGAGAAGAGGTGGATGATGTATCCTCCCTGGAGAACGAAGAGGACGAGCCTAGGAATGTCAGACACGAACCTCCAAGATGCGGAATGCTATTCAGTCCTTACCAGTAGATGCTAGCGATAATGTGGTTCATTCGGAAGGCCGTGTAGTATGCATCGTTCTGACCCCAGATCCTCCTGCGAAACCAGACGCCATCGTGGGGCCTATTGAATGTGTAGTAGAGCGAAACGATGATCGATAGCAACCAGGTTACGGTGGTCAGGATCTTGTCTGCTTGGTATTAGTATCATGCTTGCAACTCTGACAGTGGCTCTAGTTTCATGATGACTTCGTCCGATCGATGGTTGATAATTCGAGACAGGAAATTGGAACGTATTGCAACATACTATCAATAAGTTAGTTTCATCAACTCTGGAACGGAACATTACTAGATAAGGTCTCAAGTTCTTTGACATACCATGTAATCACCGTATTCTTGGTGTGAGAATCTCGCTTTGAGAATGGGTTTACTAATCATCTAATAAGCCTCATCTTCTAACATCTCTTCTCCTAGCTTAGAGGTAAGAACATACTATGGTGGATTCGCTCCATCTTAGCTGGCGGTTAGGTAGATGTGGCTTGCGTGGTATACAAGGGGATGAGGTAGTGGGAAACTTTAGAAAAGGGGGGACCCCGAACGATTTTAAAGAAAGTAATTGACAAGATCGGTGCCACCCGTCCCCTCTTTTGTCGGTGAGGATTTGGAGATGACACACAGCCAAGGAGAAGCAAGACCGATACCCACACCCATTAGCTTCCCCCGCATATGCATGCATGGCCATGCGACTACACCCCACCATCTTTGTCCATGTCCAAGACTATTTGCTGGAGGAGCTGAGTTCTTACTGTCAATCGCTGAAGCAAGATTTTCCCTCCTCACCTGCGCATGAAACACACACGAACCGCAGAAGGAGACAGCCTACCAAGTTTTGAGTACCAGTCGCGGCTTGTACAGAATACACCGGCGACGAATCACTTGGTCTAAGGTGTCTATTAAGTACATCCCGATGTAGGACTTCTATTATTATTACGACTTTATTATTCCTTCCTTCAGGCAAGTACTGCAAAGGAAGGTCTGTACAAGTTGCCGCATGGGGTAGTATGTTAGGTAAAGAGTCCGGCTTCTAGGGATGTAGACGGGATTAGGGCAAAGTCTATGACGCGGTTGCTGCTACACCTAACGAATTACGAACAAGGGACGCAATGCCGCGTTTGACCGTGCGCCTTGAATGGCTATTAGATTGACCAACGATCGAGATGGACTCCTTGTCACGCGGCTCTTTAGTCCCATAATTAAGGTAGCCACTGTTAGGGTAATTCTGGTCCGTTGTTTCGAAGTCCCGTCCGAATCAGATTACTGGAATAGGACTTTTTAGTTGCATACACACGATATAGGATTTGAGTGTCTCACATTAGACAGCCATGTCAATTGTGGATTATCCCCTTTAATCGTGTTCCTAGGAAATATCCGACACAATGGGTTTGACTGTTTGAGCTCATATTTTTCGATTTACAGATGGGAAAATGGTCACCCGGTCGAGATACCTAGGTAGCGTAGGAATGCGCCACGGTGAAGATCCTCGGCGAGAGGAGCGTTTGGTCCGGATTCGTAAACCTGCATATAGGACTACCTAGGTACCTGATTCACTGCTGACACGGCTGTGTACGACATGACCAGGTTGGCTGCTTGGATAGGCAAAGCGGGGTTGCATTGATTGAAGTTGCAAAATGCTAATATCATGGGGCCAATTCCCACTCTACCTACCTAGATTATCTATTTGGCCAATATATTCATTCTGGTCTGTAAGATCTCGCATGTGTCATATAGCATCGAGGGCATTGCGAGCTCAAATAAAGGTTCGGAAGCAATTGAGACGATGTTCTCAAGCAGCATAATAAGTGTATGAGATTTCCTCACTGAGCGAAAACTACTTAGTTGCCTCCCAACCATTATTCTTCTTTCCAGGCCACTTTCATTCTATATCATCCTCAGAATCTTCCTAGGTACTGCGCCCCTCATATGCTGTTCAATGGGCAACTGAATACCCGCGCCCAATTGTTGGTGACAAGGCTACGCGCATAGTCGCAATTGGTTTAAAAAAAAAAAAAAAAAAAAGAGGTGGCCGAAATACGGCCAGAAACATTTCCAGAGACCTGAAATCTAGAGCGACTCCTCTGCCGATACAGACCAAATTGGTGCATTGGAAAGAATCGAAATTCTGCCACGAGCAACAAAGACTCGGGCCAGGAGCACGATGGTATTGTAACGCTAAGCAGCTCCAATAGCGAAGATGCGGTCAAGTAGGACGATTCCAATCTGCGTAAATGATTTCCGGGTTCTCTTGAAAACTTAGCAACGGCAAGCCTCCAGGATTCTGCAGGCGATGAAACCTACCTCATGTCTAAAGATGCAGCACTCAAGATTCTTATCCAGTAGTAAGGTCTCGCCGATGGATCGTTGGATACTATCGCGTACTACCATCTTGATTATGCGAAAAGGGGTTGAGGCTAAGGATGATGAAAACCAAGAGCCCCTTAATGAACCTGCCATCTCTAAGCACCGCGTCATAGAACAGCTAGCTACCATGGTGTCAGGACTACGACGAGGACTCTTCGGGGTCTCGTTATATATCATCGTGCCTCGAATAGATCAACGAGCAGCTGAATACTCGCCAGCCGGGGGACGAAGCGCTGTCCAATCTTGCCGCTCTAAAAGGGGAATTTGATGGCGACGGTCTCGGCGTCTCAAAGCAAGACGTCCGCCTTTTTATGTACCTGGTGGATACATGACCCAGCGACACGACATCTCAATGACAACAGGGTTCCGGAGAGTGCTGGGCCGAGCT